ACTCTCTATTTTTTGCAGGTTGGTGGATTGAACTGGCGGTTCCAACCCGTATTACTAGCTCTACTTATAACTTTAGTTGTTTGCATTTGTTTGTACATTAAATTGAGACTTTTTTGTGCCTTGTTTGTGACTTTTTTTTGGGGTTTGAACGACCAGTGATTTTTACATTTGTATCAAGGGGTTTTCCATTTTAATAATTTTGGTGTCTCTTGTGCTACTTGATTTCTGTCATACACGTGTTTTATTTCCTTTAAGATCTTTGTAAGTGGTGAGAAAATATTTCCGCTGCGTGTAATTCATAAGTTTGAGTTGTTTTTCTCATCAATATCCAAATGACCCGATGAGACAAACCCGACACCCACTTTCATTTAACATTAAAAATGATTTTTAGACGTGGCTTTATTTGTCATCCGCTTGTAAAGTATGCTTAGCCCTCAGACCAATTTTTTAACATTGTCAACCCCTTTTTAACAGAAGGAGTAACAGAGCTAAAGAAACAAACTTAAAAGGATCTAATTCAAAACTTTAGAAAATTGTACAGACCAAAACATTAGTTTTAACTTCTCTATATACTATCTCCAATATTTAATATAAAAACTAGTTAATTAATTTGAATAGATTAAGAAAATTAGCTAAATTAGTTATTTGTCATAAATAAGTTTTATCTTCTCAAAAATATCATTATTAATCAAATATATTAGCTATAACTATAATTTGATAAATTTTTTTAACATGTACAACTACTATAAAGACTACCTTAGAAAAAATAGATAAATATAAAAAAAAACGGATTAGGGTCCTATATTTAGAACTAAAATAAAAGTTAAATTAGCTCTTATATTAAAGACTGGAGGTAGTATATTATAAAAAAATTAATAAGTTGAAGCAAAATGATTATTTTGAAGAAATAGAGGAAATTTGTGTAATAAAATTCATAAGAGATTTGTATACTTGATTTTTATTTTATAAAGTTATAACTTAATTTATTTAACATTTATAGTTTATAAATTTATAAATGAGTTCCAATGATTTAATTCATGGAAAAAAATTAATCTTACTGTTTTATGCTAGTATTGTGTACTTAGCGTTGTGACCAAGTAAATAATATGTTGATATTTGAATTATATCTATAAATTTATTTTTATTATCTAATTTATATATTTTTTAATTTTATTTTTGCAAAAGGGATCCGAAGACTTGCTGTTTGAAATTACGTTTGCGTAATTATTAAAAAAATGAGGAAAAAGGGAAAGAATTGGAGTCAATTTTATTATTCAAAATTCGGAGACTAGAATATTTTCAATGGTCGTTATCTGAAATGTGAGAGGGCTAATAAACAAAGCTGAAATTTTACTTCTGTGTTAGCCAAAAGCTAAAATATACATTTAATCATTTAAATTTACATTAAATTTTAGTTTAGTCCTTTAAGTTTATAAAATATATTTTCAGTCCCATGATATTAACACTACTAACTTTTACTAACAGAAAATGTTGACATGGCGAATTTAATGCTGACTCAATAATAAATGCTTATAAGGTATAATTAATTTTTTCCATACTTAAATTTTAATTATTTCATATAAGGTGCCACGCAAGAAGAGAATAATGAAACCCTAAATTAACAAAAGGACCTAATTCTAAGTTAAGAAAAGTATGCAACATCAATAATAGTAAGGGTTATTGGCTAAAGAAAAAGCGAGGAACGGTCATGGTGAAGGAGGTAGGTGATTCGGCTCTCTCTGTTCCCGCCAATTCCAATACGGTGTTTGTTTCATCCCGTCGAAGCATAGGGCAAGATTGCAACCGTCCGGCAATTTGGTTTCTTGGTTTTCTAGGAGATTAAAGTATACATTTAGTTTTTTAACTTTATACAAGATTTTAATTTGATCCTTTAATTTTAAAAAGTATACTTTTAGTTCTTTAACTGTAATTTTTTTTAAAATGATGATATTAAGATCTTAAATGTTAATAAAGTATTCTCAAATGCTACTATATTAAATTTAATTTTCAAAACAGTCCATGATTGTTATAAAAAGTCATCATTGAAGCCTAATGATTTTAAAGTTAAAGGACCAAATGTATGTTTTTTAAAGTTAAAGGATCAAATTAAAATCTTATACGAAGTTAAAGGACCAAATGTGTATTTAGTCTTTTCTAGGATATATGTCTGATAGGAATAGGAAAAAAAGGTGAAGTTGCAAAGCCGAAATTAAGACCATGGTCGAACAAAGATGCAAGATGAAAAACACTTCTTCAATTTTTTAAATTATAATTCAAATTTAAGGGGGTGTTTGGCATTCTCAAAACCGCGGTTTCAGAAGCACTTTTCCGTAAAAAGAGATAACCTCCTCCACATATTTACTTCGTAATCCGTAAAAACACTTTTGAAACCATGGTTTAGTTTCTATCCAAACACCTCCTAAGTATAATGAGTCAGTATTGAATTTGCCATGTTAGCATTTTTTGTCGGTGAAAGTTGAGGGTGATTGAACATACACTTTATAAATTTAAAAGACTAAACTGAAATTTAATACAAACTTAAGGGTCAAACATATACTTTAGTTGTTGGCGAAAAGGAAAAAACGCGTGCTTTGTGAAATTATATTTGCATCTATTTGGATTACATGTATTAAATTCATGTTTTTAGCTTTTAAATGGCATTACCAGATTCTGTCAAAAAAAATATGGCATCACCATGTCATGAATAATAATATTATGCCTAATAACTAACTTTACAGCCCTTGGCTTATGGGGCAAGTGACCTCTTAAAATATACTACTTAAGAGTTAATTAATGAACTTAAGTAGATTAAAAAATTTACTTCCCCGATCCTAAATATAAGATCCTTATACACTAGTATAATGGTCTTATATTTAGGACCAGAGGAGCATTTAAGTTGGTTATTTGTAATAAATAAGTTTTGTCTTTCTTAAAATATTATTGTTAATCATACATATTAATTAGAATTATCATTTGATGAAACTTTTAACATGTGTAACTGTTACAATTACTACCTTGAAAAAAAATAGATAAATATAAGCAATAAAGTGATTTGAGTTTATATTCAGGACCAAATTAAATGTCAAACTAATTTTTATATTAAAGATTGGAAGCAATACAAGTTGGTATTGTCTCCTAAATTTTTAGATTTATGCAATTAATAACTAAGAGGACGAAAATTAAGTATCAAAATATCAAGAAAAAATCCCAAAAAAATGACAGTTGAATTTTAAAATTTCAAATCAATATTGGTTATTAGACTTGTAAAGAAAATAACTACATTCAAAAAGTAAATAACAACACATTTTTATAATAATTCTTGATTTGAAATTTTGAAGTTCAACAATGATTTTTTAAAGATTTTCCCAAATATCAATTTAGTGATATATATAAAAATTTAAATAGCTGCAATTAATAACTTAAATTAAAAACTAAAAGTTACATTTAAAACTTAATTAAGACTTCTGAGTAGTCTAAATTGATATTTAGAATTGATTTTTTTAAGAAAAATTTGTCGAAAAGTTAATAATCATTTAATTGATGTTTTTAAAACTTAAATGTCAATCACCCTTAATGATCATCATCATCATCATCATTTTATTCTTTATCTATCCTCATTTCACTAATAAGCCATAACAATTTTTTCTTTTTGCCAACAATGAGCCATAACTGTTTTTTTTTGGCCAACAATAAGCCATAACTCAAAAACCATATAACATTGACAAAAGTCCATGTGCATATGATTTTATACATAATTTAAAAATTACAAAATTCAGAAAGTACAGTCCATAATATATTATATTTGATTAATAAAACAATAGACTAATTGAGAGTAGGAAAGCCAAAAGGCACACTGTGTTATGTTTTAAAAGTGAGTAAATACTTCCTCTTATCTTTATTATAAAATTCAAATGATTAATTCATGGACAACAAGCAAGTAATGAAAATTAATTAAAAACAATAAATATGTTAAAAATATAGGTTTTATTTTCAAAGATGCCTTTATAATAAATGAAAAAAAAAGTATGAAAAATGTGACAAAAAGGTATGATAAATGAGAGAGAATAAATAATTAAGAAAAAAATTAAAAAAAATGCATTAAATGGTTGGACAACTCCAAAGTGAAGCTTATCAAATGAATCACATTCCTCTCTAAATTTAAAGCTTATAAATAAGATGGGGAAGTATTTTTTAAGAGTAGTAATAATAATAATCAACTACTCACTCAATAACAATGTTAATACTCTGATTTTTCTATTTTCAAGAATAATAGAAAAGAAAAAAATGGCAAATAAAGACTATTTAATATGTGAAATTATGATTAGAGACTGCCAATTTGAAAAATAGCAAATAAAGACACGTTTTCATATTGCAAATATGAAATTTTGGTGAAATATCTGAAATGCCTTTCAGTCAAATGAAAAGTTGACTATGGGAAATGATAAGTTCCCTTTAACAAATGACAATTTCAATAGACTAAATCACAACTTAACTGAAGGTATACCAAGTGATAAGTTGATTATGGGGAATGACAAGTTCACCTTAGAGAATGATAATTTCAGTAGGCCAAATCACAACTTGGCTGAGAGGCATTTAAGATATTTCATCACGATTTCATATTTGCAATATAGGATTGGGTCTTTATTTACTATTTTTCAAATTGAAAGTCCTAAATCATAATTTCACATACTAGGAGTCTTTATTTATTATTTTTCTATAAAAAAATTAGCAGCATTATGAATATATGATGCACTGATTTGTTAATATTTTTTCTTCTTTTCACATGGGGAGTTGAATAATCAAAAGCCGAAACTGGGTCCAGAAGTCATTGCCTGCTTTTCCAAGTTTGAATGTGAAAATCAATCCTCGTTCATGATCAAAAATTGCGACAGAAGAAAAGTGCTTCACCGTTGAAAATCCACATCAGAGAGTTGAACTGTTGAAGATTCCATTTACAGCTCCCCACCTACACGCCAATCTCGGTTTTAACTAACAGCAAGTCAAGAACCTTTGTCTTCCTTTCTTCGATTATTCTTCCTTTTGATTTGATTATTTTATAGCAAGCCATGCTTCATTCTCATGCAGGCAAGACTATTCAGGGTCCCAGAAAGAAATAATCATGCTTTGCTCAAAACGACTGCGATTTCTGCTTCTTTCTTGCTTCTTCTTCTCCTCTGCCATTACAGCGTTTGGTATTTCGCCAGGTTCTACACTTTTTGCTTCTGATACAAACCATACATGGCCTTCTCCTAGCAACGCTTTCTCTCTTCGCTTCCTTCCTTCTCAAACTCCAACCACTTCTCCTCCCTCCTTCATTGCCGCGGTCGTTTTCTCCGGCGGCACACCCGTTATTTGGTCCGCCGGTAACGGTGTCAGCGTGGACTCCCGTGGCTCGCTTCAGTTTCTCTCCTCTGGCGTCCTTCGCCTCGTTAACGGCTCTGGCGTCACCTTTTGGGACTCCGGCACTTCCAATTTGGGCGTCTCTTCTGCCTCCCTGAACGACGATGGAAACTTGATTCTCTCTAATCGAACCGGCGTCGTTTGGTCGAGCTTCGACCATCCCACTGACACCATCGTGCCTTCTCAGAATTTCACAACCCGTATGGTTTTGCGATCTGGTGCGTATTCATTTAGAGTAACCAGATTGGGTAACCTCACACTTGGGTGGAATGATAGTGTACCGTACTGGGATCGTGGTCTAAATTCATCTGTACATGTCAATTTAACTTCGCCGGTTTTGGGATTACAATCTATAGGAATTTTGATACTTTCCGATCCCAAATTGGTGACTCCGTTGGATATTGCCTATAGCAGTGACTATGCTGAAGCAAATGGCACTCTGAGAATTCTGAAGTTGGATAGTGATGGGAACTTGAGAATGTACAGTTCCTCTAGAGGCAGTGGAATTTCTACTGTAAGATGGGCAGCTGTTGAAGATCAATGTGAGGTTTTTGGGTATTGTGGGAACTATGGGGTATGTAGTTACAAGGATTTAAAGCCAATTTGTGAATGCCCATCTGAGAATTTTGAGATGATTGATCCTAATGATAGTAGAAAAGGATGTAGGAGGAAGGTGAGACTTGAGGATTGTCCAGGCAGTGCTTCTATGTTACAATTGGACCATGCTTTAGTCTTGACCTATCCTCCTATATTCATGGTTAATCCGGAGGTATTTTTCGTTGGTATATCAGCTTGCAGAGGAAATTGCCTTGCAGCTGGTTCTTGTTTTGCTTCTACTTCTTTATCAGATGGCACAGGCCTCTGTTACATAAAGACATCTAGTTTCATCAGTACCTACCACAACCCCGCACTACCCAGCACTTCATATGTTAAAGTTTGTGGACCAGTGGCACCAAACCCGCCACCGAGTTTAGAGGAAGCCGGGAAGGGAAAGAATTGGGGGATACATGCTTGGATAGTAGTGGTAGTTGTTCTGGGTACCCTTTTAGCTTTGATTATCTTTGAGGGTGGTTTGTTGTTGTGGTGTTGTAAACGTGATTCGAGGTTTCGTGGTTTCTCTACCCAGTATGCTCTTCTTGAATATGCTTCTGGAGCACCAGTTCAGTTCTCACACAAGGAGCTTCAGCGCGCAACAAAAGGGTTCAAAGAGAAGCTTGGTGATGGTGGATTTGGTGCTGTTTACAGGGGAACTCTTGCAAATAGAACTGTTGTTGCAGTGAAGCAACTTGAGGGAATTGAGCAAGGTGAGAAACAGTTCAGAATGGAGGTTGCTACTATAAGCAGTACACATCATCTGAACTTAGTGAGGCTGATTGGGTTTTGTTCTGAAGGAAAACATAGGCTTTTGGTTTATGAGTTCATGAAAAATGGGTCTCTGGACAAATTTCTTTTTGTTAATGAACATCAGTCTGAGAAATTGTTGAATTGGGAGTATAGATTCAGAATCGCGCTGTGCACTGCAAGAGGAATCACATACCTTCATGAAGAGTGCAGAAACTGCATTGTCCACTGTGATATAAAACCTGAAAACATTCTCTTAGATGAGAATTACAATGCCAAAGTCTCAGATTTTGGCCTTGCAAAACTCACAAGTGCCACTGCCTCGGACCAAAGGCACCAAAGCTTGACGAGTGTAAGAGGAACTAGAGGATATTTAGCTCCAGAATGGCTTGCAAATCTGCCTGCAACTTGTAAATCTGATGTGTATAGCTTTGGTATGGTTTTGTTGGAGATAGTGAGTGGAAGAAGGAATTTTGAAGTCTCAGAAGGAACAAAGCGGACAAAGTTCTCCATGTGGGCTTATGAAGAGCTTCTGAAGGGTAACATAAAGGGAGTTCTGGACAGAAGACTAGCTAACCATCATGAAGTTGATTTGGAGGAAGTGAAAAGGGCTATAATGGTGAGTTTCTGGTGCATCCAAGAGCAGCCACTTCAGAGGCCAACAATGAGCAAAGTGGTGCAGATGCTGGAAGGAATTACTGAGACTGGGATGCCACCATCCCCAAAATCTGTTACAGAAGGATATGTTATTGCTAATTCCGTTGTTGCTGGAGAAGCTCCATTCTTCTCCTCGTCTTCCACATCACAAATCATATAGGCTCAACGAAGAAGATACTACTTAGCCTATTTTCATGAACTACTGGTATCTTTTCGTGTAGATTCTTGTATCATTTCATTAAATTATTCGATAGAATCCTGCTATTTGTTAGACAACTTAATTATATTATATTGAATTGTGAATGAGAGGTCACATGTCACTTTGTCATTCTGAATTGGTTAGCCTAAATTTTTAGTTTTTACCTTCTAATTATTTCACCAAAATTTGAATTTAATCTTTACATTCTTTTATACAGTGTCAACTGTCAAGTTTGATCGTATTTTGGCAATAAATAACTATCAAGTCATCCATAACATGCCGAACAAATCCCCACGGTTTAAAATGATCCATTTATCTTCTAAATGCTCTGGTTTTTAATAGGAGTATTTTGGAAGTATTCTCTTAATTATAAGAAATAAATACCATTTGTCTAATGTATTTATTATAAATATTCTTTTATGCCCTCATTAATAAATAATCCACCAATCAACTAATATCCTTTTTTAGGACACTTGAGTGTTGGATGAGAGATTTTTACTTTTTAGTTCTTTATACAATGTATTATACTCCTCCGGTCCTAAATATAAGATACATTTTGGATTCTATATTTAGGACAGGAGGAGTGTGAAATATTTACTACATCTTTTTTTTATTGTCATTATTCAACGTTAGTTTATATTTTTAAAAATGGGCTCTTGCCTCTTCTCAAAAGATAGGTATAATAAGGGCAATGCTGAAAATTTTGTTAATCTTTGAATAAGATTAATGAGTTTTAAGTATCACATTAGTTTTAGTAGAAATATTTCAAGTGCTCATAAAAAGGATAACTAAATGAGGGTATTTTTGAAAATAAATTTACATCTCCAATATTCTCAAAATTTATTATAACTATTTTTTTTTCCGGTCATGATAAAATAGGTATTTGTTTCTTAGAAATAGGAGGGCTAATTATTTTATTGATCCAAAAAATTTCTATTTGAAAACAAGAAAATTCTTGGATCGATCTAGCTATACTAATAAAACGTATGAGTTTTACAGCGTGCTCGGAGTGCTATCGAAGTAGCTAGAATACCTACACGAACCGGATCACTATTGTAGAACTCGGCTATAACTAGCGCTGCATATAGGCAAGGCTGAAAATGATCAACTGGCTGCATTTTGGAACTTGCTGCCAACTCTATGTGATGAAAGCCTTGAGTTATTTAAGGTAGGACTAGGCAAGTTGGGCTTCCCTGCCCATCCTAAATGATGATGCGCAAATGCATTGTTCGTATTATGTAAAAATTTTCAGCAAATCTAATAAATAATATTTTGATTTTTAAATGCATTTTATAATTTCACAATTTGGAATATTTTAAGAGAAGAAATATAAACAATACACTACAAATTCATATATCTATTTATTATCCCATATCTCCTTATAATTATATAATCAAACACAACATGATAGGTTTTCAAATAATATCCATAATCTAATATATCAACAATTTAAATCTTGAAATATATAATTCTACCATATATGAATATTACATGTGTGTATATATTAAGTATAATTATATATAATGAATACATGTATATTATATATATTAAATGTAATTATATATATATAAGCTCTGGGCAGGTCTAAATGGGCATGACAACATACCTTGTCTGATGCTTGGCCTTGTCTCAAAATGTTCATTTATTGTTTATGCTGTTTTTTCACAGCTGGGCTGGGCATAATTTCACCGAGAAGGATCAGAAAAAAATTGATCCGAGCCTTTTTGCAAGAATGGTTTTGAAAATCCAAAACAAAAATAGCGGTATTTGCTAGCAACAACATAATGGAGGCAGTAGTGGGCATTACGGGCTTTTAGGCCTCATAAATACCCCTAGCTATGACACATAGCAGGGAATGGAAGAGAGAACTAGAATGTAGAGGGACAAGAGGATTGAAAATTTTTTGATGAGCTCGATTTAAAAAGTTAAATAAATAGAGTTAAAAACTTTTAATTAATTTTTATTACTGTTTTATCTTATATATTCTCTTTCTTAAAATTTTAAAATCCCACCTATTCTATTTTTTAAATTGAGCACATTAAAATTTTTCAACTCCTTCCTTTCTCTTTATTTTCCTCATACCAAACATAGAATAAATCTCTATTGTGTGTGAGAGAGAGAGAAACCAAACTATAAGCAATAATATATGGGTTCCACAAATCTCTCCCTCAAACCATGCTCTCTGGCCGCGTGCATGACAGTTTCTACCAAAACATTTTTTTTTGCTACGCATAGCTATGAGGCAATTTTATTTAAATTACTGTATAGTATTAAATGTAGACATCTTTTTTAGTAAAAATTAAAATATTAATTTGTTATGTTGTGATAAAATGAAAAATTTCAAAGTTACTCAAGCTTTTCCTAATTTGCTTTTCGGCCCCATGGATAATGGGCTTGAATCTAATCCACCAAGGGTGGATCAGCCTTATAATCCAACAATATATATCAGATCAAACCAGATATATAGTTGCTGGATTTAGCCATTGAGTATTAGGAGACAATCTTGTCATCTGAGGCCTCTTCTAGGATTCATAATGAGGAAGATGGTCAACGTTCAGAGGATTGGTTGGATGGCTTTCAATTTTCAAGAATCATCACAAACTCTTTCAAGAGCAAGACTTCTCAAGAAGTGCTTTAGGGATGGAAGGATTTCATGCAGGGTTCTTTCAGCAAAATTGAGAATTCATCATGGGAGATGTTTGAGAAATGGCGACTCAAAAAGGGAGTTTTATTTTGAAAGAAATGAATAGAACAGTTATGGATCTAATTCTAAACTGTCGGGGCTGCTTCCTCAAATTAGTTTATGTAACGTGAGTTACAAGATTATTTTAAAGATTTTTAAGTATTCCTTCAATGGTGTTGAACATCATAAATTCTTTTTTGGATGTAAAAGTATGTAAAGTTTTCAAAATATTACAAAAATACCATAGTTGTTAAGTAAACTAATATTGACGGTTTAACAAGCAAGTTATCCAAAAAAATAGTGCAAAAATACATATGAAATTTTCAAAGTAGTATAAAAATACCTGTAAAGTTTCCAATGTCTTGGGCATTTTTGCATCATTTTCTTAACCTATATGTTTTTTAAACTACTAATATTAGTTGATTTAATGGCCGTGACATTTTTACACTATTTTAAAAACTTTATGTATATTTTCACAATAAAAAAATTATGATTTTATATGCTCGCGGTGAAATACTTCATAGGTAAATTTGTATCTTAATTCATGGTTCATGCATAATGTTACTCCATATAATATATATATATATATCTATATAAAGATATTAAACATAGAGTGGTGTACCACTACATATACCACTTTGTTCCTTCCTACTTGTTATTTGTACCTTATTTCATGCGTCATTTTCAATCCTACCCCTATTAATTATAGTAAAGGTGGAGAGAGAGAAAATGAATGAAAGAAAATATATTATTAGTATTTAATGCTCTCCTTAATAAGGGCAAAAATTCTTGGTAAAAAAAAAAGGGCAAAAATGAATTTTTTTTTAATCTATTTAATGTTCTTCTTAATATGTGAAAAACTTCTACGGATGACAAAAATAAGTAGCAGCTCCCAAGTCAATCAATACTTGTGTTATAGAACCAAAGAAACTTTGGCCCGTTTGTCATTAAGTTTGAAATCATTTTATAAGCAAGTAGATTAAGGCAAAATTTTTCTTATATATTTATTTTATATTCCGTAAATAATTGAAAAATTATTTATAAGTCATTCTAAATGGGTTCTTTATAAAAGTTCATGCTTCTGCAATCAATTACAAGACTCCCTTCTTGAAAATGATCCAACTTTTGTGGCAAAAAAAAAATGATCCCACGTTTTTCTTTGGTTTTCTTTTTTAAATTTTTTTAACCTTCGTAATATGATTAATAACTTTTATAATTATAGTCACAACTCCATTAATATCATTTACCACTTGCTCTATAGTCTATAGGTTTAATATTTATGGGATTGCGAATTTTAATGCTCCTTGCAATACCCTAGGTCCCAAAATTTTTTACGTTTTGTTTTTCTTTTGGCCATTAAATTATAATTAAAGTAAGAAATATTTTAATATCTTATAATCAAGAAAATATTACAGTTATGTTTTTTCTTTAATATATTGTAAACAAAACACACAGTTTTATAGTATCTTGCCTTGGCTGATAAGAATTTGCTCATACCAATTTCACCAGTTGAATCAATTCATGATCGATTATCAGCCTGTTTGTTGAAGCGTTTAGGGGTGAAAAAGTAGCTTATAGATATAATAAATTAGTTTGTAATTTTAAGAGTTGTTTGTTATAGTTTTTGACTAATATGACTTATGAGTCAAAAGTTATTTTTTTTAAACACAATCATAAAAGTAACTAAAATTTACTTATGACTTGTACAAAAATAGCTTTTTCAAATTAAAAGACATTTTTATCCTTATGTTTATATTGTTCTGATGCTTTTCTCTATATATTCTTTATAATTCTCAATCATTCTTTAGTTATTTATTTTTAATATTATGTTAAGTGAAAATAACTTTTAACATTTTTTATAATATTTTTAATTTTTAATATCGTTTTTTAATTTTTTATTTAGATAAATTATGTAGAATACATCATCCAATTAATTATGTAATATTATTTGGTTCAAAAATTTTCACATTACTATGATTTCTAATTTAACTATGTTTTATTTATTAAACATAACTTTTTCCTATTATAATAATTTAAAATTATTATATATTGTGAATTCATATTTTTAATCATTATTTATTATTTAATAAAAGTCATGCCTATTTTGGTCATTTTTCAAACTAAACTTGCTTATTCAATTATAATCCAAACAATTGTTTCATTTTAGAAACTAATTTTTATAAAAGTCAATTTAAACACAAATCATATTATCCAATCTCACTTTTACTCAATCTCATTTTTTGAAAATCAGATTAAAAAAATTATTATTTTTTTACCGCTAATCCAAATATATCCTATGGAATGATTATCTTGTAAGCTAAGACGATAGACACATCAACCATTTTGTGTGCGGAAACAAAAAAACCGTCATTCGAGTTTGTCAATAAATAACGCATATAACTCGCATGACTCTCATCATCTGCTGTCTTGCGCAACTGAATTTC